GTACAGCTGGTGTACAACTGCTACTGAAGGTGACCAATTGTATTTATTATTTTAGTATTTAGTATGCTATTTTGTTGCTATTTATTATTTTAGTTTCCTGCTGATTTATAGCTGACATCTTGTTTTCTGGTCATAGAGGAGGTGGGACCGCGATGGCATAATGGATTAAACATTGTTTTGTGCTTCCCATAGAGATGGCATGACACAATTTGAAATCAAGCAGCACACCAACATTTCTAAGCTATGTGGAAGTGGCAGGGAACTCACAACTCTTAGATACTGATGAACTGCAACTCCTATCTATTGTATCCTGCTCTTTTCTAGCTATTTCACAGATTATTTGAATGGTTTCCTTGAGAAGTTGGTTCAAGGGCTCTACATACTTTTTCTTTGATTGCATTCTTCTTTCGACAGTCCATTCTTGAACAGTGTTTCCATGGAGAACAATCTGACCATGGTCCTTCCTGGGCTGAATCTAGTCTGCATTTGCTGCCTTTCAATCTTTAGACAAGAGGAATAGTCATTTTTCATCTGATCATGCAAACCAGCTTCTCTGCATCGTAAATCAAAATGCACAGGCTGTTTGCATTATGCTATGCCCAGCCCTTTTATATTTGGCTCATGTCCATTTAGTAACCCTGGCCATTGGTTTTGTTGAACCTCTACTGATGGAACTACAATGAAATGGGTTTTTAATATTTTTATCTTTAATGTGTTTTAGTAGAATTTTTGAATGTTATGATGTTTTCAGTTGTTGTTATTTTGTCTATTAGTTTAATTAAGTTGTGTTATATTGTCGAATGATCAAGGGTCTGGAGAACAAGCCCTATGAGGAGTGGCTTAAGGAGCTGGGCATGTTTAGCCTGAAGAAGAGAAGGTTGAGAAGAGATATGATAGCCATGTATAAATATGTGAGAGGAAGCCACAGGGAGGAGGGAGCAAGCTTGTTTTCTGCTGCCCTGGAGACTAGGACGCGGAACAATGGCTTCAAACTACAAGAGAGGAGATTCCATCTGAACATGAGGAAGAACTTCCTGACTGTGAGAGCTGTTCAGCAGTGGAACTCTCTGCCCTGGAGTGTGGTGGAGGCTCCTTCTTTGGAAGCTTTTAAACAGAGGCTGGATGGCCATCTGTCAGGGGTGCTTTGAATGCAATTTTCCTGCTTCTTGGCAGGGGGTTGGACTGGATGGCCCATGAGGTCTCTTCCAACTCTATGATTCTATGACTCTATGTTGATGTAATTGTTTGTATGGTTTCTTTCTGGCAATTAAATGTTTGCTTTACATGCTGGAAACTGCCCTGAGTCCCTTTGAGGAGATAGGGCAGTATGTACAAATAAAGCGTTGTTGTTGTTATTGTTGTTGTCCCAATATTTTATACTCCCCAGTAGGAAATGCCACATATTGTTTCCCACAATTCATTGACTTGACTAGCCTGTCAATTTTTTTAAAAAGGGTATAGCTGACAGATAGCATAAATTCAAAGACAGATTTACAACTCATAATAAGAACGTATTAAAATGACTACTTTGTATTATACTAGTTTTTTTCTTTTTTAAAAAAGAATAATCTTTATTGAGAGTTTTCCTAAAAACAAAGCAATATATATATGTATACATTAAAAGAAGAGGAGGAAGAAAACAAGAGAGAGAAAAAGGAAAGAAAAAAGAGGAAAGAACACACACAAGATTTTTGACTTCCTAGGTATCTTCCATGTGGATTCCTCCTTTTCCTTCTTTTATCTTTATATCCTTCATATTTTCCTCTCTTCTTTTTATACCACTATATTTCTATTCTTATGTTTCAGGTATTCTGTAACGTTTGTCGAATCCATCTCTTTTATTGGGGTTCCTTTGTTTTTTTGCTATTAGATATGTCAATCTATCCATGTTTCTAATGTCTGCCATTTTCATCATCCAATTATCATTTGGTATCTCTTTTTTCCCCCAGACTTTTGCATAGCAAATTCTTGCTGCCATGTTCAAAAGGAATAGAAGTTTATCAGTATTTTTGTCCAAATCTTGATCTGTTATACCAAGCAGGAATACCTCTGGTTTCAAGGGAATTTTTATCTTTAAGATTTTCTGTAATGTAGTGTGTATTCTTTTCCAATATATTTTTGATTTTTCACATTACAACCACATGTGGAAATATATTTTTTTAATTTATTATTCGAACTTATATGCCGCCACTCCCCTGGGGCTCGGAGCAGCTTACAAGAACAGGCTAAAATCTAACACAATTTAAAAACAATTTAAAACAATTTAAAAACAGCAATATCAAAAATCAAAGTCCTGTCGAAACAGGTATGTCTTACAAGCCCTGCGGAAAGCTGATAAGTCCCGCAAGGCACGGACTTCAGGTGGCAGAGTATTCCAGAGTGATGGTGCCACTGCTGTAAAGGCTCTGCGTCTGGTTGCAAGGTCTTGACACTGGGAATTTCCAATAGATCTTGGTCCTCAGAACGGAGGGATCTCTGGGGTTGGTAGGGGGTGAGGCGGTCCCTCAGGTACATCGGCCCCAGACCATGCAAGGCCTTAAAGGTGAGTACCATCACTTTGAAAGTGATCCGGTGCTCAATTGGTAACCAATGCAGCTGTAGTAAGATTGGTGTTATGTGGCATCTCATCGGAATTCCCGCAAGAAGCCGAGCAGCTGCATTTTGTACCAACTTGAGCTTCCGGATCACCGACAGAGGAAGGCCAATGTAGAGGGTGTTACAGTAGTCCAGTCTTGAGATGACTGTGGCCTGGATCACCGTAGCTAGGTCGTCCCTGGACAGGTAGGGGGCCAGCCGTCTAGCCTGCCACAGATGAAAAAAGGCAGTTCTGCTAACGGCGGAGACCTGGGCCTCCATCGTCAGCAGAGGGTCCAAAAGGACTCCCAGACTCTTTACCAACGATGACGGGCGTAGCGCCTCGCCATCCAGGGTAGGCAGATGGATGTCCCCACTGCCCGGTTGACCCAGCCATAGGATCTCCGTCTTTGCTGGATTCACCCTCAACCTGCTGGCACGCAGCCATCCAGTAACGGCCTCGAGGCACTGATGGAAACAATCGGGTACAGAGTCTGGTCGGCCTTCCATCTTCAGCACAAGCTGAGTGTCATCGGCGTACTGATAACACTCAAGCCCAAAACCTCGAACCAGCTGAGCAAGTGGTCGCATATAGATGTTATGGGGTCTGTAACATTTCCCTAATTTCTGTGGGGTCATGTACCACCGGTGTGACATCTTAATCCAATTTTCCTTTAGTTCTTTCTTTTTGTAACAAACTCTGGAGCACTAAAGTGCCCTGTTTGTAGAATAAATGTTAAAATAGTTAGACTTGACTAACAAGAGAAAAGTGTGTTCAGTCACTTGTAAATTCCTATTCACTTCTTCCTTTTCATTCCGCAACAGTCTTTGCATCTTTAGCATTTCACTACTGCACAAGGGACAATAATATTTCAACTGGAAGGTACCGTATATACTCGAATATAAGCCGACCTGAATATAAGCCAAGGTACCCACTGCCCCGGTGGCGCAGTGGGTTAAAGCATTGAGCTGCTGAGCTTGTTGACCAAAAGGTCACAAGTTCGATTCCAAGGAGCGGCGTGAGCTTCCGCTCTCAGCCCTAGCTTCTGCCAACCTAGATCAATAGGTAGCGCTCCGGCGGGAAGGTAACGGCGCTCCATGCGGTCATGCTGGCCACATGACCTTGGAGGTGTCTATGGACAATGCTGGCTCTTCGGCTTAGAAATGGAGATGAGCACCACACCCCAGAGTCAGACATGACTGGACTTAATGTCGGGGGACAACCTTTTTAAACCTAATTTTACCACAAAAAACTGGGAAAATGTATTGACTCGAGTATAAGCCGAAGATGGGAAATGCAGCAGCTACTGGTAAATTTCAAAATAAAAATAGATACCAATAAAATTACATTAATTGAGGCATTAATAGGATAAATGTTTTCGAATATTTACATAAAACTGTAATTTAAGATAAGACTGTCCAACTCTGATTAAACCATTATTTTAACCTTCTTCAATGTAAATGTGCTTACATATCCTTCCAATAATAATAAAGAGAGCAAAATAATAAATGTGATAAAAATAACTGAGTAAAATAATGTAAATGTAATAATAATAATAAGGATACTAGAGACAAAGTTGAAGTACTTTGGCCACATCATGAGGAGACAGCAAAGCCTAGAGAAGACAATTATGCTGGGGAAAGTGGAAGGCAAAAGGAAGAGGGGCCGACCAAGGGCAAGATGGATGGATGGCATCCTTGAAGTGACTGGACTGACCTTGAAGGAGCTGGGGGTGGTGACGGCTGACAGGGAGCTGGCGTGGGCTGGTCCATGAGGTCACGAAGAGTCGGAGACGACTGAACGAATGAACAACAAATACTAATAATAATAATAATAATAATAATAATAATAATAATAAATAGAATAAAGTAATAAATGTAATCAAAACAGTAATATAATAAATGTAATAAAAATAATACTTATAACAGAGTAAAATAATAAATAACCTTGACTTGAGTATAAGCCAAAGGGAGCTTTTTCAGCCTAAAAAAAGGGACTGAAAAACTAGGCTTATACTCGAGTATATCATAGAATCATAGAATCACAAAGAGTTGGAAGAGACCTCATGGGCCATCCAGTCCAACCCCCTGCCAAGAAGCAGGAATATTGCATTCAAAACACCCCTGACAGATGGCCATCCAGCCTCTGTTTAAAAGCTTCCAAAGAAGGAGCCTCCACCACACTCCGGGGCAGAGAGTTCCACTGCTGAACGGCTCTCACAGTCAGGAAGTTCTTCCTCATGTTCAGATGGAATCTCCTCTCTTGTAGTTTGAAGCCATTGTTCCGCTTTTCCACATACAGTGGGTACTTTTAAAAAGAACCCACTGAACAGCTAAATAAATGGTGTTGGGAAGTCTCCCCTAAGGATCACTGATGCCTTTGGATAGTGGCATAAACATTTGTCAAATCGAATGAGACAAAACTGTTAGAGCAAACACTGGCTGTCCACTCCTTTATTACAAAGTTCAAGAATTATAATAGTTTATTGAATGTGCACATGAAGGACACAAGTTGATATGCAAATCAATGCAAACACATAACCATCTGAATTCAGTAGAGCAGTGGTTCTCAACCTGGGGTACATAATGTTTTCATAGGGGGTCTGTGAAGGATTAAATTACTAAAGTATTCACTATTATTAGTGTTGATACTGTTGTTTTAAATTTGTATGGAATCGTTATAATCAAATTATTATAATAGGAGTGTGTGCATTGACATATTAATTTATATCCCCTCTCTTTAAATTTGAGGGAGATTCATCAGAAAATTGAAATAATTGTTTGATTTGACCTTAATCTTGAGTTCGGTCTTGAGGGTCCACAGACACAGAAGTCATATATATATATATATATATATATATATATATATATATATATATATATATAATCTTTAGCAGACACAGAAGTCTTTAAAAGGGGGTCCATGGTGAAGAAAAGGTTGAGAACCACGGCAGTAGAGCATGAAAGATGCAACTTTCCACCCATTACATTTTTTAGAGATCCAGAACGTGCTTCTCATTTGCCAGAACTGTAAACAGGTTTACATAAGACAATAGCACCAGAGTTCGGATTCCTGTGCAAGCTTATGGAAAATCACTTTCTTTCTTTTTTAACCCAGAAAGAATCCCCATGTTTGATCCGAAAGGCTACTGATCACTGTCACAGCGCTAAAGCTGCTAGTAACCACGTTCATACTGCTTTACATATACAAACACCACTGGAACAGGTAATCTGAGAACTCAATGGGCTAGATGTGCATATATTATACTTAATTACTGCATATCCAGATAGCAGCAATTTTCATAAATAACTTACAACCACAGATAGTATTGCTTCACCACTCTTACTACACATTTGTCGAAAATTCCACCACTGTCATTGGCTTCAGGAACTGATTTGGGGACTGGGAGACCATCAACAAACCTCACATGACAGGAAAGTCAAAACGGTGTACGACATTCAACAACCCGCTTCCCGTCACGAGACACAAACTGAACTTCAACAGGGCTGTTGCTATTTCTTGCCAGAATTTGCACTGTTACTACATACCATACTATATAGAGATATTGAAAGAAGGATGACAGGAAGTAAGGTTAATTAAAGCGTATGGCACAATAGGAGCTAAGTCACACTGCACCAAACTCACAAGGTGTGCAGGGATTGATCACCAACAAAAATACAGAAGCTGACGGCACCAGGTCGCAGCTGGATATTAAAAACAAAGATTCGGGGCACGTTGCGAAAAGCAATCCATCTCAAAGATGACTGCATAGTGGGAGATTTCCAATCCTCAATGGGAAGTGCAGTTTTGGGATCTGGTAGGCTCACTATCTTGAAGGTGCAGCACAGTTCAGCTTTGCAGGGTGGAGTAAATAATTATCAAATTCCAGCAATACCCCAATTTTAATATATATATACATAAATACACCCACATAGGGTCTTAAGCACATTTACTTGGAAACAAGTCCCCAGCATTTCTTAAGAAACGTTGTCCCAAGTAAGTGTGCTTTGGATTGTAGTTTGTTCAACAAAAGCATCTGTTCAAGAGTGCCTCTGTTAAGGCTTCACACCGGCTTGAAGACAGGTTCTTTAATCCAGAGATTGTCCCACCACAGCTGTTGCACTTTGCTTCAGAAGAAGGTTTCTTTGTTTATCCACATGAGGCTGCGGGTCTCATTGGGTTTGCATTCGTACTCAATGCAGCCAAAGCTGTTCCCCCATTGGCAATGGTCTCGCTTGTGGTAGTCGTAGAATTTAACTTGCCAGACTGTTTCAAAAGCCCCGATGTCAGTGACCTGCAGATAATAAACTCATATTTTATTTATTTATTTATTTATATACCGCTTTTCTCAGCCCTCAGGCGACTCAAAGCGGTGAACAACATCGATACAAAACATTACGAGACAAGTATAGAGCAATTAAAAACAATTGTAACACAAATGATTAAACATCCGTATAACAATCATAAGCGCCTCAACAGTAAAATCAGAATCCAGTCTCATCATCCATTATTCCGTATTCCTATGTTCAATTACACTGTTTAATCAAATGCTTGTTCGAACAGCCAAGTCTTCACTTTCCTCCGAAATGCCAGCAGGGAGGGGGCCGATCTGATATCTGCAGGCAGGGCGTTCCACAGCCGAGGGGCCACCACTGAGAAGGCCCTGTCTCTCGTCTCTGCCAAGTGATGCAGGCGGGACAGAGAGCAGGGCCTCCCCAGATGATCTTAGTGTCCTAGCCGGTTCATAGGAGGAGATGTGTTCGGAGAGGTAAGTAGGGTCAGAACCGTTTAGGGCAGTGGTTCTCAACCTTCCTAATGCCATGACCCCTTAATATAGTTCCTCATGTTGTGGTGACCCCCAACCATAACCCTAACATTATGAATCACCATGTAAATAATGATCTGCAGGATGTATTTTCATTCACTGGAGCAAATTTGGCACAAATACCCGGTATGCCCAAATTTGAATACTGGTGGGGTTGGCGGGGAAATTGATTCTGTCATTTGGGAGTTGTAGTTGCTGGGATTTATAGTTAACATGTAAACAAAGAGCATTCTGACCCCACCAGCAATGGAATTGAACCAAAGTTGGCACAGAGAACTCCCATGATCAACAGAAAATACTGGAAGGGTTTGGTGGGCATTGACTTTGAGTTTGGGAGTTGTAGTTCTCCTACATCCAGAGAGCACTGTGGGCTCAAACAATGATGGATCTGGATCACGGATACTCAATATGCCCAAATGTGAACACTGATGGGCTTTGGGGAAAATAGACTTTGACATTTGGGAGTTGTAGATACTGGGATTTATAGTTCACCTACAATCAAGGAGTGTTCTGAACCCCACCAATGATAGAATTGGGCCAAACTTCCCACACAGAACCCCCATGACCAACAGAAAATACTGTGTTTTCTGATGGTCTTTGGCGACCCCTCTGACACCCCTTCGCGACCCCCTCAGGGGTCCTGACCCCCAGGTTGAGAAACACTGGTTTAGGGCTTTATAGGCTAATGCCAGCACTTTGAATTGTGCCCGTAGCAAACTGGCAGCCAGTGGAGCTGGCACAACAGAGGAGTAGTATGCTCCCTGAGTGCCGCTCCTGTTAGTAATCTGGCTGCCGAACGCTGGACCATTTGAAGCTTCCGAGCAGTCTTCAAAGGCAACCCCCTGTAGAGAACGTTGCAGTAGTCTATACGGGATGTAACTAGAGCGTGGACTACCATGGCCAAGTCAGACTTCCCAAGGTACGGGCGCAGCTGGCGCACAAGTTTTAATTGTGCGAATGCTCCCCTGGTCACCGCTGAAACCTGGGGTTCCAGGCTCAGCGATGAGTCCAAGATCACACCCAGACTGCGAACCTGCGTCTTCAGGGGGAGTGTAACCCCATCCAACACAGGCTGTAACCCTATGCCCTGTTCGGCCTTATGACTGACCAGGAGTACCTCTGTCTTGTCTGGATTCAATTTCAATTTGTTCGCCCTCATCCAGACCGTTACAGCGGCCAAGCACCGGTTCAGGACCTTGACAGCCTCCTTAGTAGCAGGTGGAAAGGAGTGACAGAGTTGGACATCATCCGCGTACAGATGACACCGTACCCCGAAACTCCGGATGATCTCCCCCAGCGGCTTCATGTAGATGTTAAACAACATGGGAGACAATATTGATCCCTGTGGAACCCCACAAGACAATGGTTGTGGGGCAGAACAGGTGTCCCCCAGCAACACCTTCTGAGATCGACCCTCTAGGAAGGACTGGAGCCACTGCAGAACAGTGCCTCCAAGGCCCATTCCCGCGAGGCGTCCCAGAAGGATACCGTGGTCGACGGTATCGAAGGCCGCTGAGAGGTCCAGCAGAACTAACAGGGACACACTCCCCCTGTCTAGCTCCCGGCGTAGATCATGGTCATGGTCTAGAGGCATTCTCTCCTGACGTTTCGCCTGCATCTATGGCAAGCATCCTCAGAGGTAGTGAGGTCTGTTGGAACTAGGAAAAAGGGTTTATATATCTGTGGAATGATGTCCAGGGTGGGACAAAGGACTCTTGTCTGCTGGAGCTAGGTGGGAATGTTTCAACTGACCAACTTGATTAGCAAGGATTTCAATTCGGGGGGAGGGGGGGGTGTTTCGGAGGGGGGGGCTGAGTCTGAGTGAAAGAGGGTCTACCCTAGCAAACCTTTTGTATCGTTACCCCAATACCCCCATGAATATGGGATATATTGAGTATGGTGATCAGATCATGATATGAATAAACATAACAGTTTAAATAATGCACCAGTAAGGCCTTTTCGCGAACCACCATGAGAATTTCGGGGGGGGGGGGGCTGAAGCCCCTCAAGCCCCCCCCCCCCCGGCTACAGCTGACCACCTTGATTAGCATATAATGGCCTGACAGTGCCTAGAGCAAACTTTTGTTGAGAGGTGATTAGATGTCCTTGTTTGTTTCCTCTCTGTGTTGTGCTGTTGTAATTTTAGAGTTTTTTAATACTGGTAGCCAGATTTTGTTCATTTTCATTGTTTCTTCCTTTCTGTTTTCTAAAATTAGAACAGCACGACAACAGAGAGGAAACAAACAAGGACATCTAATCACCTCTCAACAAAAGTTTGCTCTAGGCAATGAGATTATGCTAATCAAGGTGGTCAGTTGAAACATTCACACCTAGCTCCAGCAGACAAGAGTCCTTTGCCCCACCCTGGTCATTCCACAGATATATAAACCCTTTTTCCTAGTTCCAACAGACCTCACTACCTCTGAGGATGCTTGCCATAGATGCAGGCGAAACGTCAGGAGAGAATGCCTCTAGAACATGGCCTCAAACATTTTAAGGGTCGCTGTCCCTCAAATGATTGGAGGGCCGGATTATAATTTGAAAAAAAAAAAATGAACGAATTGCCTAGGACACTGACAACAGTTTTTTTCCATGGTTGTTGTAGGTTTTTTCGGGCTATATGGCCATGTTCTAGAGGCATTTTCTCCTGACGTTTTGCCTGCATCTATGGCAAGCATCCTCAGAGGTAGTAAGGTCTGTTGGAACTAGGAAAAAGGGTTTATATATCTGTGGAATGACCAGGGTGAGACAAAGGGCTATTGTCTGCTGGAGCTAGGTGTGAATGTTTCAACTGACCACCTTGATTAGCATTTGATGGCCTTAGCATTGCCTAGAGAAAACCTTTGTTGAGAGGTGACAATTTTAACAAATATAAACTTATTAGTATTTCAATGGGAAGTGTGGACCTGCTTTTGGCTGATGGGATAGGATTGTTGTTGTTGTTGTTGTTGTGTGCTTTCAAATAATTTCAGACTTAGGTTGACCCTGAGCGAGGGGCGGGTCAATGATCTTGGAGGGTTGTATCCGGCCCCCGGGCCTTAGTTTGAGGACCCCTGCTCTAGACCATGGCCATATAGCCCGAAAAAACCTACAACAACCCAGTGATTCCGGCCATGAAAGCCTTTGACAATACGTTTTCCATATATGTATTCTATAATCCACTCTAAGTCCCCTTAGGGAGATAAAGCGGAGTATAAATAAAGCATATTATTATTATTAAATGTTTTATCCAAATGCTGGGCCTATTTCCAAAATAGATTCAGGACCTTGGCTAGTCACTTTAAAGTTATCACTAACTCTCCTTTCCCTCTAAGTGTTTTTGCTTACGTTATCTTGTGTTAGCATTCAGAGCCTAACAGCTTATCGCATGGTACTGTCAAGGCCAGGCAGAACGGTAAAAAAAAATGTAATAAATACAGTGGAGGAAGGAAGGAAGAGGAATAACAATTACAAATTCAAAATACACTTCCTTCAAAAAATACACTGAAATTGTTATTTTAGTCTCATCAGCATAGATTTGAACTGACTTCACATTATCAACTGAAATGTAAAGGCCAAAGTTTATGCTACCGATTGCTGACAGACTTGTCCTAGCCATAACGCCAATTTGTATTTGAAGCCAGAGGTCTCAATAGACACTGGATTTTTTGAAAATCAAAAAGCTGTCGGTCGTGTTAATATTGGCAGCTAACCTTTCTCAAAATTTTCATCTCAATGCTCAGAAGTTGACCTTTGCTCGTCTTCATACATCTAAGATTTTCCATGGCAGTGACTACTGTAATATTCCTTTCCAGGATGACTTTTTTGGCTTATTCAGAATCAGAAGCTTCAATGTCTCATCTAAGAATTTAAGTTGCTGTGCTAGCTTTCTGTGAGGTTGTATAATGTCTCCAATGTACATGCAACTTTGCAGAATAACATAAAAGACAGAAGAAGGGGTCTTCACCCCAAAGAAATGGAACAAAAAGGGGGGAAAGGAGGGAAGTGTAACAAGAGAAGAATGCCCACTTAATTCCCAGTTCCAACATCTAAGAGCCAAACTAGGCTTGAATGAGGACAGACATCTTAGATGTGTATTTTTTTCTCAATTCTAATACAACAAAGTCTATGGCTAGGCACCGGGAATGTGGCGCAGCTGGCTAGGAGTCAGCTGCATTAAGATCACTACTGACCGAAAGGTCCTGAGTTCGAAGCCAGCCCGGGTCGGAGTGAGCTTCCAACCAAATTGTGTAGCTTGTTGTCAATCTTTGCAGCCTGAAAGACAGTTGCATCTGTCAAGTAGGAAATTTAGGTACCACTTATGCGGGGAAGCTAATTTAACTAATTTACGATGCCATAAAATCTGCAGCAAGCAAGCAGAAGAATGAGGAAGTACTCCATAAGTGTCACGGTGAAGCGACAGCTCCCCTAGTGGCCAGAATACCCTCACGAAGCTGGAAAGTTAAATAGCCTCAGTGTGTGTGTCTGTCTATCTATGTTGTGTGTCTATGGCATTGAATGTTTGCCATTTATTTATTTATTTACAGTATTTACATTCCGCCCTTCTCATCCTGCAGGGGACTCAGGGCAGATAACAATGTACATATACGAGGGGTATTTTTAAAGTAAGGTCCGTTTTGTTGTAGACACTAGTAGTTCGCGCGCATACCGCAACGAGCTCGTGCGTCGTGTACCGGCATGCTTCGGGAACAACTGTGCTCAGTTTCCACTCTGTAGCTAACCTGTACGGTTCTGTTCTGTGCTTTAAAAATGTTTAAGACTATCAACTCACCCGCCGCATGTGAGGTTCGCTCAGTGATACGGTTTTTGTCAGCAAGGAACCTGCCTGCTGCAGAAATTCATCGACAGATTTGTGAAGTGTACGGTGATACTGTTATGAGTGAAAGAAAAGTTTGTAAGTGGGTACGACAATTCAAAGATGGCCGTGACAACGTCCATCATGAGGACCGCTCTGGTCGCCCTTCTTTGATTACAGGTGATTTGGTGGCTTTTGGTGGCGGCAGGTTTTTATGAAGAGGGTATTTTAAAATTGGTTCAGAGGTATGATAAGGGTTTGAACAAACTTGGCAACTATGTCGAAAAATAGGGTGAAGTATGTAATTTCTGAAAATAAAATTACTTTTTTGAAATAAACTTTCGTTGTGTACTTATGTTCAAATGGACCTTACTTAAAAAATACCCCTCATACATGGCAAACATTCAATGCCATAGACACACAACATATATAGACAGACACTCAGAGGCTATTTAACATTTCCATGAGGGTATTCTGGCCACCAGGGGAGCTGTTGCTTCACCATCCATTTGTGACACTGATGAAGTACTTCCTCATTCTTTGCATGCTTGCTGGAGATATTTATGGCCTCGTAAATTAGTTAAATAAGCCTCCCTACAGAAGTGGTACCTAAATTTCTGACTGGACAGGTGCAACTTTCTTTCAGGCTGCAAAGATTGTCAACAAGCTACACAATTTGGTTAGAAGCTCACTCTGACCCGGGCTGGCTTCAAACTCAGGACCTTTAGGTCAGTAGTGATCTTAATGCAGCTGATTCCTAGCCAGCTGCGCCACAGTCCTGGTGCCATGTATATGTACATTGTAATCCGCCCTGAGTCCCCTACGGGGTGAGAAGGGCAGAATATAAATATTGTAAATAAATAAGCTGTTTTTGTAGTCCGTAACCCTTCCTGCTGCCTGTCCCTTTTTGATAAATTTGGGAAAAGGTGAATTGCCCCCTTTGAGCTCCTCCAGGAGAAACAATCCATCTTTCAAGTAAGTTGCCGGGCTTTAGCAAAGTAGGTTAAACCACCAGCAGTAGTCAATCTTGTCAGTCGAAAGACTGCCAATTCAAAGCCAGATACAAATTGTTATTATATATACCTCTCAATTCAGAGACAGAATTCTGGGGTGAGAAAGAAAACATTTGGCTGCTCTTTGAAATGAGGATATAGACGTATTTAAAAAACATAACCCTAGGTCTTGAACATTTGAAAGAACAGGAATGGACCACATGTGCTGTTTGGTTTTATTACCAACTAGCCATCCCCTGCCATGTGTTGCTGTGGCCCAGTATGTATATATATGAATATATGTGTGAGTATATTTGTGTATATGTGTATATATGTGGTGTTGCGCATGCGTTGTATTTTTGGTTTTTTGGCTTTTTAAGTCTCTTCTGCTGAGTTTTTCAGTATTTTTATAAGTGATGGTCACTCGTTGGCCTGATAGGTGTATTGAGTCCAAATGTGGTGTCAATTCGTCCAGTGGCTTTTGAGATATGTTAATCCCACAAACAAACATTATATTTTTATTTATATAGATGTAAACTTCACTCTTTCTGGTTTTTTTTTTTCTTCATGTCAGGAGCAACTTGAGAAACTGCAAGACGCTTCTGGTGTGAGAAAATGTCTGCAAGGATGCTGCCCAGGGGAAACCCAGAAGTTTTTTTAAAATTAACTTTATTTTTTAATAATTATTTGACACAAATAATCTCATATATAATCAGAAAATATACATTCAAAAATAATGAAACGTGTCTAGATCTGTATGCAGATGGCAACTTGTACAAAATAAGTATAACATACTTTACCATTCACTCGAGTTTAAGACATTTTCGAAGGAAATACCCAGATGTTTTGATGTTTTACCATCCTTGTGGGAGGCTTCTCTCATGTCCCCGCATGAAGAGCTGGAGCTGACAGAGGGAGCTCGTCCACGCTCTCCCAGAATTCAAACCTGTGACCTGTTCGTCTTCAGTCCTGCTGGCACAAGTGTTTAACCCATTGCAACACTGGGGGCTCCTACTCCTTCTGGTTATTTGCTTCGTACCAGGACATATCAAGAACTCAAGCTTTCACTCACACCACCAGAAATATACATTACCTGGATGTTGACTTGTATTGGCTGCCTCTCTCCACTTTTGGTGTGAGTCACGCCTTCTGTGTCATAGATGCCGGTGTAAGTAACAAGCTGGGCTTCTTTTGACGTCTGTTCCAGGGGGATAGTTACTCCTCCTATACCCATGGTCCTGTAAGGAGAATTAGTTTCCTCAATATCTAGTAGCAGGCCTGTAGCCGGCGGGGGTGGGGGTGGGTTGGGGTTCAACCCCCCCCCCATTTTTCAGGTTAAAAAAAACTGGTTTACTCATGAATTTTAACTGGTTAACCAAATCCCCATGCTAAGTCTATGAGACGCAAAAAATTAAGAGTCCCTCCAGAACTGCAAGCACTATCTCAAGCAAATATTGACAATTTATTCACACTGTCATTACTTGCAGCAAGAGCCGATGTAGTGAAGCAACCAATTGGGGGGGGGGGGGCTGAATTTTTTTCAGGGGGGGTTTCGGGGGGGGGGCTGAGTTTCGGGGGGGGCTGAGTCTGAGTGAAAGAGGGTCTACCCTAGCAAACCTTTTGTATCATGACCCCAATACCCCCATGCATATGGGATATATTGAGTATGGTGATCAGATCATGATATGAATAAACATAACAGTTTAAATAATGCACCAGTAAGGCCTTTTCGCGAACCACCATGAGAATTTCGGGGGGGGGCTGAAGCCCCTCAAGCCCCCCCCCCCCCCCCGGCTACATGCCTGCTTGCAGCAATAGCTGATGTAATGAAGCAACCAAGTTGGGGGGGGTAGGGTTTCAACCCCCCCCCCCCCCCCAAAATTTTCAACCCCCCCCCCGAAATTTTCAACCCTCCCCGAAATTTTTTTCTGGCTACGGCCCTAAGTAGGCATGGTTAGGTCAGTTCAGAATTCTCGGAATTTGGATTAAATTTAGATCAAATTCCTTTTTGAAGCGATTTTGAAGTGATTTGGGAACCCGGAAGTATCCTTGCCCTTTCGAAGCCACTGTCGCCATCTTTGTTCCGACTCAGGAAGTGAGTCGGAAGTGACTCAGTGTTTCGAGGCAAGCAGCAGCTTGCATGCTAGGATGCCTGCCTCTATCCAATGAGGGGAGAATATGTGGGGAGAGGAGTGGGGTTTCTGTACGTCAGCCATTGCACTTTATAAAGGGCTGCGCATGCCTCGTGGGCTCATTGCGAGCCAGGGACGTGAACGGGAAGGGACCTTAGAGCCACCGCAAACTAGCCTCCTGCGAGAGCAAACTGTGCCAGCATGTCCATGATGTCATAAGACTCCGCCTCTCTCTCCGCCTCTTTCTCTGTGCCAGCGTGGTTTTTCCTTTGCTAGGGCAGCTATGCCAGCGTACTCTCGCTGTTGAATTCTGTCAACAGCGAGAGTACGCTGGCATAGCTGCCCTAGCAAAGGAAAAACCACGCTGGCACGGAGAAAGAGGCGGAGAGAGAGGCGGAGTCTTATGACGTCATGGACGTGCTGGCACAGTTTGCTCTCGCAGGAGGCTAGTTTGCGGTGGCTCATAGGATGTGAAAGGTGCCACTGCTTGGGAAGGGAACAACAGGGTTAGGGAAGGGAACAAATGTTTTTTGGAAGGGAACAACAGGGGAGAACAGCTGGTAGCAGGCCAGTTGCCTGTGAGGCTTGAAGCCTTTCTGCTTGTGTGTGGGGAGGGAAGAAGGGCAGGGCAGCACATAAGGGCAGCGGGGACAAGTGTTTTCTTGCCTGCCACTGCCAATTTCCCTTTTAGAAGCAGTGAATTAAACTTTCAAGACACCTCAAAGTTTACACTTTGGATTTTGGGATACCAGAAAGTCCCTTTTTGCGTATCACCATTAATAAAGCAAATCGGAAATTTCAGAAAAATCCGATTTTTTTTCCGGAAAAATTCAGAAATCAATTCCAAACCAAATCGTCAGTGCCCCCTATATCCGAAACAAGTTTTGAACCATTTTTTCCTTGATCAAACAAGCCTAATATCTAGCTGTTCTTTCCCATCCTAGCTTACTAATAATGGTAGTATGAACTCACAAGCAACCCCCCCCCCTCCCAGTGATGCTGAGCCACCCCCTTAGCCATCTGTCATTGTAAATGCAATGGAGAGGGAGGGAGGGAGGATATCCTGCTGCCTCCCTGGTTAGGGGGATACACACATAGCAGCACGACGCACGCACAGACTGGCAGAAGTCCTTTACATCAAAGAGAAAGATGTGTGCTACTATCCTCCTCCCTGCACACAGATATAGACAGGATGTATTCAAAACGCCATCTGTCTGCACAGAATATCCGGCTCTTATCCAAAATGATTCCATCCTTACCGAAAGGCATATTTCTTCCATTGTAAGAGCTCCTGATTGTACGACACACCCTAATTTCGGTACTGCCACCACCAACAAAAAGACATAAGATACACCTGCGATTATAAGACACACCCCGTTTATAGAGATGTGTATATAGGAAACAAGTGTGTCTTCAAATGGACAAAATACAGTATATCAAACTCCCTCCCCCACTTAATCCGGCATGGCAATGGGGGGAGGGGAGGAAATAAGAGAAGTGGCTCTAAAGGGAAGTAACAAATTGCAATGTGAGGGATTTATTCCACAGAAGCCTTCCCTTTGACCAGATCAGGAGACAGATGGAGGCCACTCATGTTTGCCCAGAAATTGTGTGTGTGTCCAAGTGTGCACACTTACGCTGGGGACATTGGGACAGCTGCCTTACAGGCACTCAGACACCCAGCTTACCAACATTAGCAAGAAGTCTTTGCAAGCCTCATTTAGGGATAGTGGGGTTTGAAACCTGGATTTAGGCATGCTAAGAAGGTGCTCCACTACTCCGTTACAGTTCTTGTGTTTCCAAAGGTGCAGTGCTTTTTGACCAGTGATGGATTGGGTCTAAAAATATTGGAGGCAAAGACGGCCCAACCACAATTATAATTATTTCACCAATTGTTTTTCTTAAAATAGTAATACAATGTAAACTTTAGCTGCATGCAGTCATAATATCAGGACTGTTATATTTTCAAGTAAGTAAAAGATCAATCACATCTTAAACATATCATCTAATGGAGGAGTGTCATAAAGGGCCACATCAGCCTCATGGCTGCCTTCAAAGGGTCCTTGAATCCATAGATGGAGAATCTGTAGATACAGGGGGTCAACTATAATTTTTTCACATATTGGTCAGTGCTCTTTAGTTTTTACCCAGTATGGGTCCCCAGATGTTATGGAACAAGGGGATTGGGGACAATGGGAAGTGCAACCCAGTAACATATGTGGCGCTGAGGTTGGGGAATCATAGAATAATAGAGTTGGAAGAGACCATCTGGCCATCTAGTCCAAACCTGTGCCATGCAGGAAAAGCATAATCAAAGCACCCCTAACAGATGGCCACCCAGCCTCTGTTTAAAAGCTTCCAAGGAAAGCTTCCACCACACTCCGAGGCAGAGAGTCCCACTGTTCTTCCTAATGTTCAGGTGGAATCTCCTTTCCTGCAATTTCAACCCACTGCTCTGAGTCCTAGTTCACTTCCACATAGCTGAATAAAATCCCACATTATCTGCTTTGAGCTGGAAAATATGGCAGTGTGGACTCAGATAACCCAGTTGAAAGCAGATATTGTGGGATTTCTGCCTTTGATATTCTGGGTTATAGCTGTGTGGAAGGGCCCTCAGAACCAAGGATTTTGATGGGGGGGGCTGAGGTTGATTCGGGGGGGGGGGGGGTGAGTCTGAGTGAGAGAGGATCTACCCTAGCCAGGCCTGTAGCCAGGATTTTGATTTGGGAGGGGCTGAGTGGCGCTAGGGCGCCCTGAAGGTGCCTGGTCAGGCTTGGCTGTGGCCTGCGCTGTCTGAGTTTGCTCTCCTCTCATCGGACGAATTTGGTTCGGGGGGGGGGCTGAGTCTGAGTGAAAGAGGGTCTACCCTAGCCAACCTTTTGTATCGTTACCCCAATACCCCCATGCATATGGGATATATTGAGCATGGTGATCAGATCATGATATGAATAAACATAACAGTTTAAATAATGTACCAGTAAGGCCTTCTCGCAGACCACCATGAGAATTTCGGGGGGGGGCTGAAGCCCCTCAAGCCCCCCCCCCCCCCCCCCCCCCGCCTACATGCCTGGCTCTGTGGAAGGGCCCCTAATTGCCAGAGCAGAGAAAACAAGCCTGCTTCCTCTTCCTTATGACACTCTTTCACATATTTATACATGGCGATTATGTCTCCTCTCAACCTTTTCTGCTGCAGGCTAAACATACTCAGCTCTTTAAGACACTCCTCTGAGGGATTCATAGTCTCCAAACCCTTGATCATTTTAGTCGCCCTCCTCTGGACGCCTTCCATCTTGTTAATATCTGTTTTAATCTGTGGGACCCAGACTTGGACATAGTATTCCACGTGAAATCTAACCAAAGCAGAATAGAGAAACACCATGGCTTCTCTCGATCTAGACACTGTACTCCTTTTGATGCAGCCCAAAATCCCCTTGGCTCTTTTAGCTACTGTATCACACGGATGGCTCATGTTCAACTGGTTGTTCATGAAGACCCCAAGATCTTTCTCACATATACTGCTCTCAAGCCAGGCGTCCCCCATTCTGTATCTCTGCATTTCGTTTTTTCTGCCTAAGTGGAGTATCTTGCATTTGTCCCTGTTGAACTTTAGTTTGTTAGTTTTGGCCCATCTCTCTAATCTGTTAAGATCATTTTGAATCCTGCTCCTGTCCTCTGGAGTATTGGCTGTCCCTCCCAATTTGGTGTCGTCTGCAAACTTGATGATCCTGCCTTCTAACCCTTCATCCAAGTTAATAAAGATATTGAACAATATTGGACCCAGGACCGAACCCTGTGGCACTCCATTGGTCACTTCTTTCCAGGATGAAGTGAAACCATTGGTGAGCACCCTTTGGGTTTGGTTATAGAACAAGAACAAGGAACAAGCCATCAAGACATAGATTTCTTAGATCTACAGAGACACTCGCTGGAACACCCCAGCAAGCGAGAGTCCAAAAGTGGCAGGCCCAAACCCAGCACCTCAATCCATGGGTGATACCAGATGAGAGACTCCCCCCTGGGCACACAGAAGACTGGGCGACTTGGAAGGCGCTGAACAGATTGCGCTCTGGCACCACGAGATGCAGAGCCAATCTTAGAAATGGGGCTACAGGGTGGAATCCTCGGCATGCGAGTGCGGAGAAGAACAAACCACTGACCACCTGCTGCAATGCACCCTGAGCCCTGCCACATGCACGATGGAGGACCTTCTTGCGGCAACCCCAGAGGCACTCCAAGTGGCCAGATACTGGTCAAAGGACATTTAACCAAATACCAAATTTGCAAAATCTGTGTGGTTTTTTTTTCTTTTTCTTTTTAATCTCTGTGTTTGTTTTGCTCTGTTAGAATTGTAATACAATGGTTGCTGATGACACGATAAATAAAAATGGAACAAGAACTCCCATTGCTTTTGATTATCCACCATGTGGATTGGCAACAATGGTAATGGCAACCTAGTAGCATGTGTGGCTCTGAGGTTGGGGAAATATTTATAGGGTATTTTGAAGACAGGTATCCTATCCACAACCCTTGTACCTCTGGTTTGGTCCAATGGGTTGCAACCAGATTACTAACTGGAGTGACCTACAGGGAGCATACCACCACTGGCTGCCAATCCACTTCCGAACTCAATTTAAAGTGCTGGTTTTGACCTATAAAGCTCTATACGGTTTTGGCCCAGCTTACATGTCCGAATGCATCTCCCACTACGTCTTGCCTTGCAGTTTAAGATCATCCGAGGAGACCCTGCTCTCGCAAATACGTCTGGCAGGGACGAGAGACAGGGACTTCTCGGCTGTGGCCCCCACCTGTGGAACTTGCTTCCCAACGAGGTAAGATCGGCTTCATCCCTCCCGTCTTTTAGGAAGAAATTGAAGTCGTGGTTCCAGAACCAGGCTTTTGGACAGCAGGCATAAATAGCGCTTTAGATATGGAATTTGACTGGAATGGTGATACGGCAGTTAATACTATTTTTATTGTTTTAATTAATGTTCTCTTTATAGTTTTAATGGTTGTTATATTGCTTTGTCATATTTAATGGCATCAAATTGTGCCAATTGTAAGCCATCCTGAGTCCCTCTTCAGGGGTTGAGGAGGACGGGGTCGAAATACTGGAAATAAATAAAATAAATAAAACAACCTGCAACCTTGCAGTATCACAACCTCCATCAGCTCTAGTTGTAATGCTTAATGATGAGGGAGGGAGGGAGGCATTGGACTCCAGCATCAGGAAGGCCACGTAAAATGGGAAATAGCAGGCCAGATTCAGCCTACAGGCCTATAATTTGACATGTGGTCTAATGTTGAAGGGGGCCCACTTGCCATGGGGCAAGCAGACACTCTGGCTCAAGCATGGTACGTGTGAAAAAGATCTTGGAGTCCTCGTGGACAACAAGTTAAACATGAGCCAACAATGTGATGTGGGGGCAAAAAAAGCCAATGGGATTTTGGCCTGCATCAATAGGAGCATAGTGTCTAGGTCCAGGGAAGTAATGCTACCCCTCTATTCTGCTTTGGTTAGACCACACCTGGAATATTGTGTCCAATTCTGGGCACCACAATTCAAGAGAGATATTGACAAGCTGGAATGTGTCCAGAGGAGGGCGACTAAAATGATAAAAGGTCTGGAGAACAAGCCCTATGAGGAGCGGCTTAAGGAGCTGGGCATGTTTAGCCTGAAGAGAGAAGGCTGAGAGGGGATATGATAGCCATGTATAAATATGTGAGAGGAAGCCACAGGGAGGAGGGAGCAAGCTTGTTTTCTGCTTCCCTGGAGACTAGGACGGGAACAATGGCTTCAAACTACAAGAGAGGAGATTCCATCTGAACATGAGGAAGAACTTCCTGACTGTGAGAGCCGTTCAGCAGTGGAACTCTCTGCCCGGAGTTTGGTGGAGGCTCCTTCTTTGGAAGCTTTTAAACAGAGGCTGGATGGCCATCTGTCAGGGGTGATTTGAATGCAATATTCCTGCTTCTTGGCAGGGGGTTGGACTGGATGGCCCATGAGGTCTCTTCCAACTCTTTGATTCTATGATTCTCTGATTCTATGTCAACACGGGCCAAAAGTAGTACTTGTTACAAAATCTGACTTCAACTCCACACTGACTGTTAGGAATTGTGGGAGTTGAAGTCCAAAACACCTGGAGGGCCAAAGTTTGGACAGATGGGCATTGCCTTTGCCCAGGGGTTGTGCTTCTCCACCTAGACCTGGCCTTTGTTGAGATACCTAAAAGCCTGCCAGATTTGGAGTTGGGGGTGAGACAGCGGGGCGGGAATGCGGGGAGCCCCAGTCCAGGAAAGGGGTCCCTTTGATGTCAGAATGTGGGGAGAGCCAGGGAAGGGGCGCATGCGCACTAGTCGGAAGCCCCTCTCCCGTGCCAGGAAGGATGAGCGCCAGGGAGGGACAGTTACATAAGCAGGAGCCGCGGCTGCAGCGCCTAATCCCAAGGCTAGGCTCTCTCTCTTTCCCTCTCTCTTTCCCTCTTCCTCTGCAATCCAAGGAAAGGGCTCAAAGGACCACTGCGGCATCCCAATGGGAGGCTGTGATCCAAAGGCATGAGAGGGAGGGAGAGGGGGATTGGGGAGAGCCTCCCCCACCCCCCAGACTTACGTGGCCTGGACGGTGCCGGGCTTGATGGCCACCTCGACCTTGTACTTGGCCCCCGTCAGCAGCTTGATGGTCCGGTTCTGCCCGAAGCGCTGTCCGTCCACCTTGAAGTAGACGGGCCCGTCGTTGGGCTGGATCTTGAGGGCCACCTTGATGCGGACCACGGTGGGCACCTCGGCCATGGCGATGCCCTCGCCCGGGAGGAGGAGGCAGGGAAGGAGGGAAGAGGAGGAGGAGGAGGAGGAGGGAGGGAGGGAGGAGGATGCAGGAGGAGCAGCAGCGCAGGGAGGAGGAGGATAAAGAGGTGGTGGTGGTGGAGCAGGAGGAGGGAGCTTTCCCTTTCCCTCCCTCTTTCAGACTCCCACTGGCTAAGCCCTGTTTCTGATCCGGAGGGAAGGGAGAGGAACTGGAGGCATTGGGCCCATCCACAGCTAATCCAGCCGCCCTGATGACGGCAGACAAGAGGAGGAGGAGGAGGAGGAGGAGGAGGGGAGGAGGAGGAGGAAGGGCGGGCCTCGCTATCTCCACTCCAGCCCTAACATTTGCTCCCAGCAGCAAGCAGGGATCTTTGAGATGGTAGAACAGAAGCTCTCCCACAGCAAGCTGGCTTCAGGAAAGGCAAAAGCTGCACATCGCAAGTGCTGAACCTGACTCAGCACATAGAAGATGGCTTTGAAAGACAGCAGATCACAGGAGCTGTCTTCATAGACCTGACAGCGGCTTATGATCCCATAAACCACCGCCTCCTCCTGAGAAAAATGTATAATATCACAAAGGACTACCACCTCACCCGCCTCATAGGAAACCTGCTACAAAACAGGAGCTTTTTTGTTGAGTTCCAGGGCCAGAGAAGCAGAGGGCGGAAACAGAAGAACAGCCTGCCTCAGGGGAGCGTGCTTGCTCCATCCATGTTCAACATCTACACAAATGACCAGCCACTGCCAGAAGGGACAGAGAGTTCATCTATGCTGATGATCGTGCCATCACCGCTCAAGCAGGGAGCTTTGAGATGGTTGAACAGAAGCTCTCCAAAGCTCAGGGTGCTCTTACTGCCTATGACAGGGAAAACCAGCTGTTCAACATCTACACAAATGACCAGCCACTGCCAGAAGGGACAGAGAGCTTCATCTATGCTGATGATCGTGCCATTACCGCTCAAGCAGGGAGCTTTGAGATGGTAGAACAGAAGCTTCCCGAAGCTCTAGGTGCTCTTACTGCCTATTACAGGGAAAACCAGCTGATCCCCAACCCATCTAAAACACAGACATGTGCCTTTCATCTCAAGAACAGAGAAGCAGCCCGAGCTCTGAAGATCACCTGGGAAGGAATCCCACTGGAGCATTGCAGCGCACCCAAATACCTGGGAGTCACTGTGGACCG